CATTCTGCTGCTAATTAACATTCAGTCAGGGGAAAGAAATACAGAAAAGACTCTTTGCTGACCTATGCACTGAATAGAATTTCTAAAAATTAGCAAAAAGCAATTCATCTTATTGTTTCAGAATGAAGAAATTGATTTAGGAACAATGTTCTTGCTATCAGACCTCCCTGCAATTGTAAGTCTGTTGTTTGTGTTTTGCAGAAGAGATGAACATAAACGTGGATCTTCAAATCTTCCAATTAGAGCTGTTATCCAAAAAGTACTATATTTAGTTCTTATACACATTCATTCATTTTTTTAAGTCCATAAGCATGGGACCTCGAGAACATGTGTTATGTGAGGGAAATTTCAGTTTTTGACAATCAGATCCAAACCTCACTATTTGTGAGTAGAAGTAAAAAGAATCAGGAAAGAGTGAACAAGAAAGTCATTCACTTGGCCCCAGAGCATCCAATGCACTGCTTTTTGCACTAATCCACAAAGCACAATATTGGGCAAACTTGAAAGTAATGAAACTTTACCTCCAACCTAACTTTATCAAAATAAAAATTTGGATCAGTTGTGCCCCAGGAAACATGCATTGGGCATGAGTGGTTTCTGTGTTAGCTTTCTTCTCAGTACTTTCCCTTCTTGTCATTCTGCTAGGTTTCTCAGACACCTCTTAATTGTGAACAACCAAGCAAGACGAATTCCTAATGCTCTATATTTACTGCTACCATCTACCTCTTATACTTCTCCCTCAATTCTTGCTTTTCCACTATCTTCTTAAACCTCGTGAATAATCCTATCTTTGATATTGGCTACTGATTGTAGTCCAATCCTCATCCTTATTATTGCATGGGTTACTTAACAGTGAATTAGTTCCTAACAAATAATAATTGTACAAATTATGATAAGTTCCATGAAAAGAACATTTGGGCCTGGGGAAAAATGAGTTTTGTCCCACCTTGTCTATATAACCCAGGTCAAAGAATAAAGATCCTTTACAACTTCAGTACAATCATTTAAAACTAAGTTCTATTTTAAGTCCTTTGGGTATAGACCCAGGAGAGGGATATCTGGGTCAAATGGTGGTTCCATTCCCAATTTTCCAAGAAATCTCCATACTGCTTTCCATATCGGCTGCATCAGTTTGCATCCCACCAGCAGTGTATGAGTGTACCTTTTTTCCCCACATCCTCACCAACACTTATTTTTGATTGTCTTCATAATAGCTGCCATTCTGACTGGAGTGAGATGAAATCTTAGAGTGGTTTTGATTTGCACTTCTCGAATTGCTATCGATGATGAACCCAAAGGACTTAAAAACAGCATGCTACAGGGACACATCAATGTTTATAGCAGCACAATTCACACAATAGCTAAACTGTGGAACCAACCTAGATGCCCTTCCATAGATGAATGGATTTTAAAAAATGTGGCATGTATGTATACACAATGGAATATTACTCAGCAATAAAAGAGAATAAGTTCAGCATTTGCAGGTAAATGGATGGAGTTTGGGAAGATAATGCTAAGTCAAGTTAGCCAATCCCAAATAACCAAATGCTGAATGTTTTCTTTGATATAAGGAGGCTGATTCATAGTGGGATAAGGAGAGGGAGCATGGGAGGAATAGAAGAACTCTATTAGGCAGATAGGGGTGAGATAGGGCAGAGGGGTGGTAGGGGAAGTGAAGGCATGGAGTCAGAAATGATGGTGGAACGTGATGATCATTATTATCCAAAGTACATGTATAAAGACACAAATTGGTGTGAATATAATTTGTATACAATCAGAGATATGAAAATTGTGCTCTACATGTGTAATAAGAATTGTAATGCATTCTGCTGTCATATATAAATAAAAAATTAAAATAAATAAATAAATAAATATTTTTTTAAACTAAGTGCTGATTACTTCACAAAAGGATTGTCAAAAATAACATGATAAATCACAGAATTGCAAAAAGCAGACATGACTGATGGTGAAGAGCTTAATAGTTTAAAAGTGCTACACAAATACTTGATATTATTACTACTACTATTATCACTCTAGTTAATTTTACATATATCCCTAAATAGATAAAAAAAAAAAACCTTCAAAAAGAAAATGTACTAAAAATGTAATTGCTGGGCATTTTAGAAAACCTTTCCCTACAGGAATCTCTCTTAATTTTTCTTCTACTTTAAGTAAGAAATGGTGACCAATGACAGTCTTATGGGATTCAGCTTTTGACAAGCTAGTCATTATGAACAAGGAATGCAATAAATAATTTAAAAAGGAGAAAGTCAACAAAATATTAATGTCAAATGTCTTTTCTATTTTTCATCTTCCCTTCATATTCATGTTTATTTACTACCTTGAAAACAAAATAGAATTTTAAGATTAAGAAAATCATTAGAATTATGATTTTAAAAAAAAAACATTTTTTTGTATTAAATCTTCAACAATCATAAGGGTCTAAAGCAATTGTCTATTGTATYTTTAATAATACAAATGATTGTGACTAATACCTGCTGCTTGGCATTTTCTTTTTAAGATTTCCTTTTGGTTGGCTCATTTTTAAGAAATGTATTTGCCTGATAAATCTAGCTTTAATCTTGATGGGTTGGATATATGCTAAGAGGCATTCTTCCAGAAGACAGAGGAGGTAAAGGGGGAAATTCTAGAAGAATGACTCGCTTGTTTGGGGGAGGATAAAAATTTAAATCAAAACATTGCCTTTACCTCACTAAAATATTCATAAAATATTCAAAAAATATTCAAAGCACAGATTAAGCCACTAGAGAAAATAGTTTTCAAAGGTCTGTTGCTTATTTAATAATACACAATACCCAATAGGGAAAGTTAGCAAATAGAGAAAGCATGTGTTGAAAATACTCTAAATGGTTTTCAGTATTGTGGTATGTTTATATTTTTGCAGGATATGACTCAACATTTGCTTTGAAGTATTTTCTTATTTTCTATAGTAATAAAGAAAAATATCTGTTTTGTTCCAATTCTTCGTTAATATTTAGAAAAAGTCACAAATTTCTTCTTGATTTATTAAAAACACTATACGCCAAAATAATACAGATGTATTTTTAGAGAATTTTCACCTAAAATAACAATATTCTAAATAATAAATATTTCAATCTGTATTTTCCCTCATAATAAAAGTAGCTACTATCCAGAAATTGCCTTGTTCAAGGACCTCATATTCATTTATCCATGAATTATTTTTAACCACTTAGTGCCAAAAAGTATTTAAATGGGTAATTTGACATTAAAAGAATTGAAGAATTTCTAAGAATCCAAAACCTAATAAATGATGAATGAAAACAAATAAAATTGACCTACCACAAATTTTTTTCACTGGAAAAATACTATGTAATCATGGTGGAAATAAAGCTAAAATCTCTAGGAGACAATTTGGTCAAATAAAGCTGATTCCCACCCTCCTTGGAGTACTAGGTATCATTAAGCAAGACAAATTCTATGGACAGGATATCAGTTGATTTGAGGAAGTGATTATGAAAAGACTTTTATATTATCTTTTCAGACATGAGGGAGGAATAAGAACTTTGGTGGTATTCACAGACAATAAAACAACCAAACAAACCTTTGCAAAGCACAAGGAATGACAGATTATCACTAGGTGCATTTATCTTCATAAGCAGGTGGGGGAAAAATGGACAAAAATTCTTGCCCTTATAGGCCTTATGTTATAGTAGAAGGAGATCGACAATAAACATAAATAAATAATTTACAAAGCATAGCAGAAGTGACAAGTACTATATACAAAAAAGTAAGGGAAATGCAAAATTTCAAAAAGATCAGGGAAACTGTAATTAGAAAGCAATTGACAAGTGAAAGATACATTAATTCCTCAGTAAGTTTTAGAATTAATTTATTATGAAGTCCATAGGAAAATGTAGTGCCCTTATCCAAATCTTATAATCCAAATAAAGTTTTAAATAATGTAATTTCATCATAGAGTGTTAGGGGCCTAATTGTGTGCCCCTAAAATTTGTAAGTTGAAGTCCTAGTTCAGTATCTCAGAATGTTTGAAGATAGGCTCTTTAAAGAAGTAATTAAGATAAATGTGGTTAATAGAGTGGGCTCAAAACCAATATTACTGGTGATAAGAAGAGATTAGGACAGAGGCATGCACACAGGGAAGAAGGTGGGGAGACACAGGACACAGGACATTCTCTGCCATCCACAGGACAAAGGAAGAGGCCTCAGAAGAATGTACCTGGCCACACCTTATCTCAGACTTCTGCTCCCAGAGTTGTGAGAAAATAAATTTCCATTGTTTAAGCTCCCAGTTTGTCTACTTTATTATGGCAACCAAAGCAAAATAATATAGAGAACATGGAAGTATTACGTGCACACAACCTAAATACTGTATTTAAGATCATGAAAGATTGTATTAGCTTGAGTTTTATCACAAATCAGAATCTTTACTTGACTTTATATTTAGAATTCATACAGAAATTTGGTTTTCTGTATTTATTTTTGTAACCTTCACTTTTATTAAAAATCATAAACCTAATGGGTTCTCTTCCAGTATACACCTATGAAGAGATTAATAAAAATATCACAAGGACTTCACAACTAAAAGAGCATGCTTAAGTAATATATAAATTTTCAGGATATGCAAAACTTTTTTTTTCTATTAAGATACACGTAGTTGCTTATTGTGGTTTAAGATGGCAGCACATAGCCCCTTAGAACCATATGCATAAGTAAGCAGCCAATCACACCAGAACTTGGTCCTTCCCTTCTCTGTCAAGATGTCTACAATTGCTAAAAGAGCTGATTGCAGCCTTGCTGTATATTAAAAAAAAAAAAAAAAAAAAAAAAAAAAAAAGAGTGGACCATCTACTGATGCAAGCTTTCTGTTGACTATATAGAGAATGCTGCATGCACATTTAAAAATATTCTTTAATTTCAAGAATGTTGCTTTCCTTTTAGGTTTTTCCCATAATAGACATTAGATTGGAGGATTAAAATAAGTAAATGAATATACTTACAGGTCCTGTTAATTTAGATGCTTTCTCAAATTCTTCACCCTCCTCCACCAGTGCTTCTTCAGTCCCAGGTAAAGAATCTATTTTAATTTTTTACAATGAATAAATTAAAGTCACAAATTGCTTACTAGTTCTCTGATACATAAACCTGTTAGTGAAAATAATATTAAAATTATTGCACTGATTGTTGAAAAATCAGTGTCTGTGAATTAAAGTCAGAATGATATTTATTTAGCTTAAAGATAATTTATGGAGGTATTTTTAATTTAAAAGGTGCAATAAAATCAGAAAAGTACAAGAACTGCAGCTTATTATGCAAGTGAAGCAACACTTTTTATGGCATATTATTCATCTAGTTGTTGGAATATATTTATATTTAATGTTCTTTTTCTGCTTTGTAATTTTATATTTCCTTGTTGGTTTTATTCATTAAGTAACTGTCTTCTTTCAAGGCTACACAATTTAAGTATCAATTTGTGTTCTCTTTTTTAAATAGGATGAAAATTTGTGAAGAATCCACAGAAGAGTACATGTTTTTACATGGTGGTAGGTTTTCTACTTTAATATATTAAGCAAGAGGTTGTGATTATTTAGCCTAAATAGAGGGGTGGGAGAATAGTTATATTCGAATATGTGAATAAAATCTTGGCAAGCTGTTCCATATGTCTGCTGAGTTAAATTATAGCAGCATGAGTTTCTGTGGGTTATAAAGAATTTTGCAGTAAGGATGGATATATGGATTATTTATATCTACAGATAATCTACACCAGATACTGTCAACTTCCTTTTGTAAAATATTAACTCCTTCTATTAAAGCAACAACAATAAAATCCCTTTAGGGGAAGGTATTTTAAACCAGTGAGTTTTAAAAAATGACTTCTTATATTTAGTAATATTGAAAGACAGCCTTCTGAATCATGAAGATTTTCCTTTAGATTAATGTGTAAATGAAGACATTTTTTGATTGCATAAAATTTGTACTCTGGGAAGAAATTCAAAGCATGAAATCCTTCTAGCCCTTAATGGCCACCAAGGAGAAGAGAGACAAAAGGAAACTTGGCACAAATCCATAATCGTAGCTTTTAAATCCCATAGCTCTCTTTATCTCTGATAATTCAGAATTTTATATTCAGGAAGAAAGGTTGCTAATCTCATAGCATAGAGTTTATCTAGATATAAAAGTAGAGTTCCTTTTAGAACACAGAAAGCCCTGCTTATAAAACTCACTTTGGGAGAAGCAGATACTTTCTCAAGTTATAGATAAATGTAAAAATTTGATCTACTACTCTTCTAAACAGAACATTGGCATTAAAAAGAAGCTAATTTAAAGAAGATAAAATCAAGACAGATAATGAGACTTACACTAAATTCAAAAATCATAATCCACTTGAAAAGAACACTTGAACTCCCATCTACTAAAACCAAGTTGTAAGGGTGACAATAGACTCTTTAAATTAGGATGTAAATTAGGAATAATTTAAATTCCTAAGGCTAAATTACATTCTTCAGAACTGTGAACAAATGCTGGTGTAACTTTAGAATTCACTCATTAGGTTTGTTTTATTTGTTGAAATTCTTGACTAGAATATTGATTTTAAAATAATATCAAATTGTTCTATTCTACATCACAAAACTATTTTTGAATATAGGGGAAGGAAAACCATCCTCTTTGGGGTTTTGCTGATTTTTTTAAAACTTAGAAATACTCTCAATGTTCCTCTCAGTAGGTAGGTAATGGTTTTAGAGCTTCATTATATATGTGTGTATTAATCCATTCATTCAATTATTTATGGGGATTCTGTGTAGTCATTTATCCAGCAAATATTATATGTCATGCACTTTAGTAAACCCTTTCAAATATATTGAAATAAGATAATTTTCTATAACTCTCATAGAATTCACTTGAACACATTTACAGTATTGATATTTTAGCAAAGAATATTTACCAGAAATTATTGGCAACTTTTCATGGTCTTACACTCTATTCTTGTTTGGGTTGAATTCTTCCTGTTTCATGCTGTAGCTGGTGTGATCTGGGTAAAGGACATTGAACTTAGGGGAAAGGGATAATTGTGAAGAGCTGCCAGAATATTTGAGAATTTACAAATGTGACCCTATCAGAAGCTATTAAGTTAAATGAGTTCTGCCATATAGATCAAATCTTAAGATAGGATACCAATCTAACAAGCAAGTTAAGGCAAATAGACATCATGAAAATAAAGCATTTTATTTAATTGATTGAGTAAATGAATGGTACTGGGGATTGAACCGAGAAGTACTTAACCACTGAGCTATACCATCAGTCCTATATTTCTTATTTTGAGACAGGGTCTCACTAAGTCATGGAGGCAGGCTCTCACTAAATTGCTTAGGTAGGCCTCAGACTTGGGATCCTCCTGCCTCGGCCTACTGAATCACTGTGACTACAACCATGCACCACCACACCCACCATGAAACCTTTTATTTATAATGCTTAGGGGGTGAACGTTTTTCCTGAAGAGTTCTGAAGTTGTTGCTTATTAACAATAATTGGTGCATTCAAATGTGTAAACAATTTTGCTATTCCAGAGCAATTTATCTTATAAGAACTCATGATTTTCAAAATTGAAGGGATTAATTATTAGAGTTATTTTAAGTCACATAGAAGTTGATGGAAAGTTAGTCACTAAATTTGTCAAATATTGCAGAGTTGATTTTCACCCCTCATTTAAGAGAAGAACAAAATAAGACATGGGGGAGAAACTGAGGCATGGAAAACTTTTCTCAAAAACTAACAATCTCTATTAGCATTTGGACTAGAAATTTTGTCTCGGTTGACTGAGCATACTAACAGGAACCTAGAAGAAGTCTATAAAGTTTATCGCAATGTTGAGCTTCATTCCATTTCTTCCTGACATTATTTCTATTATTTCTGCTTGTGTCGAAAGATGTTTTGTGCACAAATTACATTTTTTCATAAAAATACTTACACACATTGAGCCAGGCTCAAGATGGATGCATAGTTCATATAAAAGTCACATGACAACTTTTGGCTAATCCAATAATATTCAACTATGGGATTTAGTATTTGACTAAAGGAATTTTCAAAAGGATGTACTAAACCAGGAACTTTTATTTTGGCATGTGTTCATCGGGTATACTAATATTTGAGTGCAGAGAATGTAGGAGTTTAGCATTTCAAGAAAGGAGCTTAAATTTAATGTTTGTGGTTTTTTTTTCCCCACTGAATGCAAGTAGGCTTAAACACAGACCTATTACTGGTCAGCACAATGACCCACATCTGTAATCCCGGCTGCTAGGGAGGCTGAAGCAGGAAGATCATAAATTTGAGGTCAGACAAAGCAACTTAGTGAGACCTTGTCTCAAAATTTAAAAAGGGATGGGGGTAAAGCTCAAGCTTCCTAAAATGAGCACTTGCTAACATGTGCAAGGCCCTGAATTCAATCCCCAGTTCTGCAAAAAAAAAAAAAAAAAAGAAAAGGAAAGAAAGAAAGAGAAAAAAGAAAGAAAAGAAAAAGAAGAAAAATATTTACAAAAATCAAAACATTATCTGTATTACTTAATATCTCCAGATATTTAAGTCCCTACAGTGCTCAATAATTATGTAAATACAGTTGCTAAAGTTTATATACCTATATATCCTTTATATATAGATATATAGATTGATCACTTGGAGTAGTTTTTATAGAATTTAAACTATTAGTGGGCAAATTGTTAACCAGGATCTGTCTCATATTAGTGTTTTTTTTTTAAAGCCATTTACATTGGTGTATTTCCATCACAAAGAATCTGTTCTTCACTCAATGTGAATCTGTTTCACAGATTTGCAATTTGGACACAAGAGTCTTCAAAATTGGATTCAGGGCAGGACATCACTATGCCTCATAGAGAGTTATTCCACCATATTCTATGAAAAGGGTCTCATATTAGTTTTATATTGGGAATGCTGGGGTACACAAAAAAATCTCAATAAGCATGTGAGAAGAACAAATACATATGAAGCAATTAAAAGATGGTTAGGCCTGAGGGGGTTAAAAAAATGGTGTGGGCAAGACTTCAGGGACACTTAGGATAACCTTAGAGCACAGAATCAGAACAGGCCAAGACGAGGCTGGGGATGTGGCTCAAGCAGTACTGCGCTCGCCTGGCATGCACGCAGTGCTGGGTTCAATCCTCAGCACCACATAAAAATAAAATAAAGATGTTGTGTCCACCAAAACCTGAAAAATAAATATTAAAAAATTCTCTCTCTCTCTTTAAAAAAAAAGAGCAGGCAGAGAGGGAGAAATATACCAATGAGACTTGTTCATAGGTCAGGGCTTTATTCTCTAAGATATTTTTCTAGAAATAGAGCTTCTGGGTTTAGCTTTTATGAATGCTCAAGATTTTAAGATAATGGAAAACATTTTCAAAATTGTTTATAATCCATCTGGGATATATTATCTTCCTCTCCGCTCTGTATTCACCAGTACTTGGTTTTACCAACTTTCTTAACCAATGCCAAAAATGGTTATAAAATAATATTTCAACATGATCTTAATTTCCCTGATTAGTAGGGTAGTGATGTATATTTCATGTGTTCATTGGCCATTTGTATTTCCTCTTCTGTGAAATGTTTTTTTTAATGCCTGTTGCTTATTTTTATATGGATTTGTTGATCTTTATTATTAAATTGTAGGTGTTCTTCATATTCTAAATATTAATCTTTGGTCAATGACAAACACATTGCAAATATATCTTCCCATTTTATGGCTTTTCTTCTGGCATCATTTTATAAACAGCAGTTCTTAATTTTCTATAGTTAAATTTTTTATTTTCTTCTGTTTTAAAAAGTATTTAGCTCATTTTTTATTTAAATTAAATATACTTGTTACTGATAAATAGAAGCATAAAAATTATACATATTAATGGAATGCCATAGGGTATTTCAACACATGCATACATTGTGTTATGTTGAATCAGGTTAAACATAACTGTCTCCTCATTCATCATTTTTTAATGGTGAAAACATCCAAAATCCTTTCTTCTAGTGTTTTAAAATGTACAGTGCACTATTGTTTTGTTATATATTTTAATATTTAAAATTCTTGTGTCTTATTTAAAATAACCTTTCTCTATCCAGGTATAAGGAAATATTCTATAGTTTCTCTTCTATCTTAACTGGACATACTGTCTTGCTAGAACAATGGTCAAGGAAGAGGTGATGTGTCTTAGATGGCATTGAAGCAGTAGTGCATGTACTTATTCACTTATTCAGCAAACATTTTGAAATGCTCTGACATTAACTTCATATGCTAAGGTATGAAGTTTGAATTCTGTCCTATGTAAAATGGGTGCAGATTAATCAGCTTTATTTTTAGAAAGTAAATTAACTAAGGAGGGGTGAGATAGTGCAAGGAGGGCAAAGAAGGTTTCTACACTAGGTGAAGAAAGAGAAGGAAAATGTACACCAGCCACTAACAGGAAAAATGGAGAGGAGCCTGGATCAGGAAGTAAATTCCAAAGTGACATTGACATAATTGAACACCAATTTAACACAGGGCTGAGAGAGAAAGTATATGATATTTTCAAGTCTAATACTGACCTTCTCCCCAAAAAAGACTGGACGGATGGTGTGAGAATGAGAGTAGGAGATAAGTCAAGTTTCAAGGGGCAGATAATGAGTTCTATTTTCTATAGATCCAGCAAGAAAAGTAGAGTTCTAACACAAGTTAGAATTGGTGACAATTTGGAAAGTAACCAACAACTCCTTGCTGTTCCTCAGAACACACATTTCCTGCTTCTTTTTGTCCTCTGCCCTTAACTCCTGATACACAGCTCAAAGGACTGTGCTGGTGGTGGACAGGTGACCCACAGGGCTGAGATTTGTCACAGGTGAAGATCTTTTCTTTTCTTTCTTCTCCCTCCCTCCCTCCCTTCCTCCCTCCCGCCCTCCCTTCCTTCCTTCCTTCTTTCTTCTAATCATTACATGCTTCTAAAGCTTTAATAAATATTGTAGAATTCAAAACTTACCCAATGAATCTGGGATTATTTCATCTGGAGAATGAAGCAATTGTAACGTCTCTTCAGTCCTTTCAGCCAGATTGTCTCCTTGAAGCCTAAATAATTAAAAATGGTGATTGAAACCTCTAATAATCTTAAATTGTACAATATAAACCACTCACTCTGGGGATTAAGAGTGTGAACTTCTAGACCCAAAATCTAGACCTCAGTCTTCAAAGTAGAAATAAAAGTTCATTCAAGCCATCTTAATTTAGTGTTTTGGTTTTGTAGGCTTTAAAGAAATGATTTTTTAAAAAATCTTTCCTCTTATATCATTGGCAAGTTGGAGCTAGGTTCAATCCACTTCACTTCTGAGGCTGACCAGAGAAACATTTATAAGCAAATGTTTTCCCTGAAACTACAAAGGGAGGTTAAGTAGACGAAAAACAAGTTTAATTCAAAGTGCTTACCTAACTACTGGGTCCAGTAGGGTTTTCATGACTACACAAAGGTTTGTCAACACAGATCTCACAAAGGTTTGTCAACACAGATCTCCAAATCAACCAACCTGAGATAACAGGCCTGTGGATCAAGACCAGTCTCAGCAATGAGAATGAAGATTTCTGATATGAATGACTGCCTAGGGTTCTCATAGACACTGGGTCTTCCTCAGGAGAGGAAGATTGTGTAGGTACTTTTGTGGCAATGTATTCTGAACTCCTCTGTATCCACATCTCTAAAGAGAGAAATGTGGACTGGCAATGTCTGGTTGAACTGTTGATTAGTATCATGTTCTAAAACTTCATTATCAAAGGAAGGTGAAACTCAGCAACATGTTTTGCAACTCTGTCCTAAATAAACACAGTTCTGCTGATGTTGGAGGACAGTTATAACAAAAGGCTCAGACTGGAAGTTTCTAACAGTGTCCTTACTTCTTCTTGTATTTTGCTCATGACAAATGTCTTTCATAGAAAAACATTAGTAAATAAATAAAATATAATATTAAAGTTCATTTAAAACAGAAGTATAATTTACAACTATACTGGACTCAAAAGCTATAACTTTCAGCCATTTTATATCTTTACTTTTTTATGTCATAAAAATATAACAATTTGCCTTGGACTTTTGCAAATGGAAGCAAATATGCATATCTTTCTCTATTTAACTGTTTTCTATTTATAAATATTGTAAATTATACTTTCCTTTTTATTTTCATAATATTAAATTCTGTGCATAGCAGTATGAATTACACTTACACTACATTTTATTTTATATACATAAAGCCAAATTTACTGTCTTGTATAAGGTAATTAAAGTATTCTCAAGGGCAATTTCCTGATAATTGTAACATATTTTGGTTAGCTGTGTATGTATATTATACCTTAATTAGTTTTTCAAATTTTACTGTGAAAAAATACCACTTTTAAGTACATGAATTAGCTACATAGTTCTCAAACCCTCCCTATACTGTTTATTTATGTTCTTCCAATACTTAGAAAACCTACTTCAATAATCAATAATATCAAATGTTCTTTTCTTAAATCTCTTTGTCCAGGACCATCCTATCAAAATTATCAAAGAAAGTATATAGGTACATGACTTGTTGAAAGGTGGAAGTAATAATTATTATTAATTATTCACAAGAACTCCAATATATCTGGGTATTTCACATTACGTTCAAAACCTAAAGGGAAAATAAATCCCCAAGAAAGACAAAAGAAGCAAGACATTAAAAACTATGCCATAACTTTTTGACTCATTGCACACTCATCAGTAGAACAAGATATTTATTTAGCATTTATTGACATGCTCAGTAACAATGCAAAGAAATTATAACTATCTCTGATTTCAAAGCACTCTCAATCTATCTGAGTTGAAAAGACAAATGGCCATGAATAAAAACCCAACAAATTGGGTGGCCTTGAAGCCAGCTCATCTTTGTCCAAACATTGCCCTCCAGATATCTCAAGAACTGCATTTACCATGACTTGGCAGAAACCTGATTACAGAACAATGTAATTCTTGCTCTGCCAATGTTCCCCAAACTGTATTGCACACAGCATTACTTCTGGTAGATGTTGATAATAGGCGGTATGCAAACAAGGGTGGCATGGACAAGTCCAGGAAATACAGTTTTTAAAAAGTTAAATTGTTTTTGTTTTAAATTTTTTTTAATCACAAGACGTTTTCTCTTCACTTTCTAAAAACACTCCTCCACATTCTACCATCCTTTAAATGAAACCACTCCTCCATTTTAAGCAAACACTTTTATATTTTCAACCCCTACAAAGGATGCTTCCTGCTCCTCTTTCTCATCCTGAAACTGTTTTCTCCTCCTAGAATATCCCAGTACTGGGGTTGAGTTGTAACTCTGTAATAGAACACATGCTTAGCATGCAAGGGGACATAGATTCAATACAAAAAAAAAAAAAAAAAAAAAAAAATATATATATATATATATATATATATATATATATATATAGTTTTCCCCCTCCAAAGAAAGATGCCTAATCCCTCAACCTCAGATAAAGCAGGATTGTGTGTATTACCCTTTCTTCTCTTTGCCTGTAAAGACTTTGCTCAGGCTCACACTATCATCCTGAATGTTCTGGTGTTTGTGTAGATTTTTTTTGCTAAACCCATAGCTCCTTTTCTTGCTAAACATGAGCTCCTTGCTAAACCTATAGTTCATCTGGAGATCTACCCTTCTGCTTCACCTTCCCTAACCCAAGGACAGACAACTGGAACAGTTCCACATCAAAGAACCATAAATTCAATATTTTCTGAAAATAAACTTAGTTCCCTTGGGTTCTTTCACATTCTCACTCTCCACGACACTTTCTCTTTAATAGCTATAGACCTTATTTCCCTTCATTTCCCCCTGGGTATCCAGTTTTCTCTTGATTCCCTTCCATCCCCACTAGCTACCTAGACCCTCACTTTCTTCCCAACTCCCTTGCACTCTGTCCTTCAGCCATTTCTGCCCAAGCAGACCTCAACTCTGTAGTAATCTACCATTTCCCTACTTGTATGTAGCTGAGCAACACCGAAGGAAATCATGACCCTCTAAGATTGGTGAGTACAAACCAAGAGTTTCAGCTTTAAATTTGGGTTTCTTGATTGTCTTTCCTTCAATCCCTTCAAGATCTTTTCAAAAATATCATCATTTCTTTGATGTCACTCAGAAAAGTTCCATAATCAGACAAAAAGGGCCTTCAACTTTCCCTCGCATGCCAGGCTCATAATTATCTTCACCTTGACCCCATATTCAACAGTTTTCCAATTCAGGGAGGGTAAGAGGCCCTTTCCTTGTGTAAGGTGTAGGCCATCCATTAGGCTCATGGCTTAGATCCTGTTATGTCATGTCCCTCTTGGTCCTCCGTCTGTTTAACCCACCACCATTACTCATTCTGTTCATCTGCTTTCCCATTTCCCATTTTCCATGGTATATAAACAAGCTCACTTCTCTTTTAGTCTTGTACACACACAAACACACACACAAACAAATGAATTGCTTCTATGATTATCTAAAACATCTAGCTATTGCTGCCTTTTCTTGCACATTCTTCTTAGAGCTAAACTTCTAAAATATTCTTAACCAATTCCTTTACTTCCACAGTTTTCATTCCCTCCTCAACCTGTTTTAATTTGGTTCATGCCTCAACCACTCTGGGAAAACTGCTTACACCTGACATCTTAATGGCTGCATGCAATAGAAACTTTCCAGACCTCATCTTTATTTAAACTTGTGTGAACATCTACTCATTCTTGAGGTTATCACTGCTTATTTTCTGGGTGCCTCTCTCACTCCTACCTAACTGAGTGATTCTACAAATATCTCTCCTCAGTCTCCTTTAAAGGCCCTTCTTTCTTTGAACCCTCAGCTCAAGATTGATGTACCCAAATTCTTGTAGGAAATTTTACTTGGATGCTTTAAATTCCTCAAAATCAATATGTCCAAAAGCAAACTCATTCTCCATTATCATCTCACCTTTCTCTGGACATTGCTAATCCATTTCAGTCTTGCTAATAGTGCTTCTCAAGTTATCACTTAACATTCATTACTTCCTTTTTACTAATGCTATGATATGATGGCTTGTCTTGATTTGACTGCATTATCATGTAGTTGTATCACAGATATTCATACTTAGAAACTTGCCTTCCAAAAATCCATTTTCATATTACTACCAAAATGTTCAAAACATGTATCTGACCATAATACTCTCATGCTTTAAACCTTTGAGCGAAAGAGGCCTTAACATAGTAATCTTACCAGGCCTAGGAGTAGGTTTTAAGGGAGTCAAAATAATTCACAACAAATAGAATGAAGACTTTTGGGTGTCTGTGATCTTTTCTGGAGAGAAATCATTTTAACCAGTTTCTCAAAGTAATCTTTGACTCAAATGGGTTTTAGAACTACCATTTTCATTGGCTTCTCATCCCCTGAAGAATGAGTTATGGTTTCCTAAGCAAGACATCTGAGTCTCTCATTGCACAATCCCTACCTGTTGTCTGCAGATCCATCTTCTTGGGTATTCCATTGGGATTTTATACTCCAAAAAAACCCGAACTACTTTCACTTTTTGGAAGATATTTTGTTATTAACCCTTTGTGTCATTATACTATTATTTCTGGCAGCATTTACCTCCTCCTTCTTTTTTACTATGTGATTAGTCTCAGCTTTTCATTCTAAATTTTCCTCTTTACAGAAGTTTTTCTTCTGGAAGTCTTAGCATGATTGCAAATCTTTACTCTTACTTTTCTGCATTTTTAACTGTTGATTTAGATGTCTGTGTTTGTCAACATGCTGTGAGTGTCTTAAAGAAAGGATTCTGGTTTTCATGTATTGCATGTCCCTGACATACAGCTTAGATCCATCTGGGTACACTGTGAACTCTAAAAGAGGTTTCTAAGGTATTTTAAAGTGATTATTTCACTTTGGAGATTAAGAAAAGATATAACCCATCCTTTGTACAGGGGATTTTCCAAAGAATACTGTAGTATAATTACAATTATATTCCCTTGAGAAGTACTGAAAATTATCCTCCATGTATTCAGAGTGAGGCTGTTTTTAGCCAGGTTCACCATAATGCAGGGAATGAGCCGGAAGCTTACA